GGAAACTATTTATGAAATACTTCTTGTATGTCCGTATAAAATGAGCGTCAGTACTGGGGTACTAGGATAGACTAAATGACACAAATTGAATGTGATTAGCAAGTGCAACATAAATGTTAATTGTACGCTAATGTCGCGAAGGTCTGGTGTATCACTGACTTAGTGATCCATATATAAGGGTAACTGACGTAGAAAATAAGACGACATATAATGTGACAATGAGGTGAAATCTAGTTTCCATAACCTAGTATCTCGTGTGATCAGGACCGCTGACATGAGATCATCGATCGATATCATGAGATTAATCACTGGATTATCTGGTCCAGACTCGATTATTTATAGACCTAACCGTCACCTAACCGAGTGTGGCGCTAAATCATCGCAAAAAGAAACCATGAATGAATTATCTGGAGACCAATTTACCATAAAACTGGGTATATGTGGCAGATAAAACAATGTCACCAATAAAGCCAGTATGTTTATTGAGAAATACAACTGCCATAACCATGCAGCAAGCACTGACATGTCTTAAAACATGTTCATTCCTCATTTGTACTGTGATCAGTTACAATCCTGACCGTGAGATCCGTATTGGGTGCAACAAATGTACCATCAGATCCACATAGGTGGACCATGATCCATAATAAGAAATGATATGTAGCATATGTTATATTACACGTTAATAGCAGTGGGGTAGTTATAATAGTTTTGGGGTTAAGTCCCACCCGGGATTCGAACGCTTACTCTCAGAATAAGGCAGCAACTCGCAAGAAAACAAAGACAGCTTTCTAACCCACCGAGGCGTCCTCACGAGGTGCCCGGGCCACACACATACCGTACTGGTCTCCTGCACCACCTGTGGGGCAAGACACGTAGTTTTAAGCGTTCAATGGACTCTCCCATGAGGAGAGTCTTTAAGTGGCCATGGCAATTTATTTTTGCTGCTCTTATTTATTGGTCATGACTAATTGTTTTTTTCAACTTGGTAATGGGGTGACCTACTGACTAATGCGTTCGCTATTCAAGTTCGAACCCCCACATGGGAGCGTCATTAAACAGAACTTAGAATTCAGCCTCTCTCATGGGCCTTAGTGCCGGAATATGCAACATGCACTGGTTTGAAGGTTCTCTAATCTAATTCAGGAAGCCATCAGTGTTATATTACAGCGATTTCAGATATATACCCCTTGGATCTGTTTCTACTTTATATTCATTGAATGGAATAACCACCATCATTTTTATCAATTTGTGTCATATATAATCAGATATGGGTGCAGCAAATGAGAAGGAATACTTCACCAATAAGCATATCCCCCACGCATTGATCATCCTCTGGGGACCTCATTTCCTGGCTAGCATGTTCCGTCAATGTTTTCGCAGACATGGTATCGTCTTGCAGTGATTTCAGACTCAAGTAATATCCAATTACAATTTTAATTTAATATATTTATTTGATAGAGTATCTATACAGTTATTCATAACAAGTGTTTGCCACTAACATGGCAATGTCCCCCGACGCTCAAGAAGAATGAAATATAAGATATTTACTAGTTTTTATCTTTGAGTCACATGGAAGATTACCTCTTGAGTGATGTAGTTTTTAGTCATGGTCGCTTCTCAGATTCTTCTCCTAACTCTGAAGATATTTCAGGAATATAGTAGATGTGAATGTATAGATACAGATGCACACATCCACTGTCAGTATCAGTGTGTATTAGGGCTGGGACAGGTCCAAACTTTCGACCAAGGTACCCCACCCTTTATTATCCTACCCTACCCTGATACCCGTTATGTTAATTCCTGATATCAAATTTGTAAGAAATGGCAATATATTCGTGGTTTTATGTGGTATCGCGTTTACATATGTTTGAAAAATGGTCGAATCGTCATGGTGACCTTGAAGATAAGGTCAAGGTCACCCCCAATGTAGGCTGCCACCAAATTGAACACATTGGGTACAACAGATCATGAGATATCGCGTTAACAAGAGTTTGAAAAGTGGTCAAAGTGTCGTCAAATGATGTCAAGGTCACCCAAATCGACTGGCGTCTGCGTAATCCCCCAATGTAGGCTGCCACCAAATTGAACTCATTGGGTACAACAGATCATGAGATGTCGCGCTAAGAAGGATCGGGACGTACGTACGTACGGAGGTACGGACGGACGCTGCTGAATACAACGTCCCCCGTTCCCGTTGTGGCAGGGGACAGTCATATCTACAATTCTACAATACATATATGTTACTGTTCCCATAAATCCCAGTCACCGTAATACTTCTTGGTTTGTCAGCAACATACCCGTGCTCGATGGTTTCAGTAAAGTGGTAAACGTTTGGGACTTACATGACTTCGGGTTTTCCTCCCCTATTAAGCAGACACACCGTCATATAACTGGAATACTGTTTATGGCGGCGATCCAGTTGACTCCATAGAACCATGTTAATAGCGTGCATTTATGAATATTCTTTCCATGGATTGTCAACATGTTGCATGTAGATACACCCGTATCGCCTATATCTGTTGTCAATTCAAAATAGCTAAAACGGTTGTCACACACGAATGAATTTATAGCATAGATGTATGAAAGATTTGCATATGATATGGTATATCTGTGTTCATTTACGTTATCACAATAATAGAATACATATCAAATATGCCCACTGTGATTCACGATAAGCTGGCAACATAGAAGTTTGATTTTTTATGGCGTACATTGAACATACTTTCGACGGTGCTTGTTCTGTGAAATATCACCAGGAAACGTACACGAACCCAGTCCAGGAAAACAGATTTAGGAATTTGTAAAGTGTCCGAGAGAGGGGTTTAACATCGCATTGAACATTATTCCAGTTACATCGGGGGGAAAGCCCAAAGTGATGCGGGTCTCAGAAGTTATCACTTTGCTGAAACCCACCAGCATGGGTGCGATACTGACATACTAAGAAAGGGGAGATAATAACTGAGTTTGTGACGTTCCCAAGGGAAGGAACTCTGCATTGGACCACCTCTGTCGCTGTTACAAGGGAAAACAGTAAAACACCACGCTGCACCATTTGCCTGTGTCCATCTTTCAAAGTCAGCTTTGACCACAACAGCTTGACGTCGTAACATTGGTGTACTTTCTGTCATGAAGCTTAAACTTCAACAAACATTTTGTGTGTATCACTGTGTGTTGATGTGCATGGCATCAAATCTTTGAGGTCAAGGTCAAAATATATCTAATGAATAACATATCGTTATCAGCAGGGTATGCCTTAACGCCAAGCCGACGGGCGCCCAGAGCGCGGTGTATCCGCAATGAACTTAGATTATGCAAAACATGGCGTTCCCTCGACTATTACATCTATCTACTGGTATTGCCTTTCCGCGACCTATCGTCTCCTTTCGACAACTTAATGTCTCACCAACCTGACTTGGCACGAGCATATCGCCTGGACAGGACAATATTATTATCCGTTTCGTCCTTCAATCAGAGTCATTTTGTGAAGTTGCTCCATTTTGTATACATAACCCTCACTGTTATCGGAATACTTTATTAGTCACTCATGAATTGCATTGCATGCCTTTTTATAAAACGCATTTGAAAACGGTTAGAATAATAATATATCATAATTACAATATCAATGGAGACTAGCTTCCAGCGTTACAGATCTGTTTTATAGGCATGAAAAATGCTTCTAGCGATATATTCATCAGTTTTATAAAATCTACATATATAAAGTGATATATTATTCAGTTTCGATTCAGTTTCGGTGGCAGATAGACCTGAACAGAACAAAATGCGTTCTTCTGAATATTCAACGACAATCCACTTTGTGTTCATAACAAATAACGTCAAAATATAATTGCAAAATTACGTCACAGATTGATGACAACAATGCATTCGCTGTGCCTTGTCAACTCAAATTTCCATAGATATGTAAGACAACGCTACCACAGTACGAAAACAATGCTGACTTAAAAAACACTTTGACAGATGTAACTAATAGAAATCACAGGCCTTGCATAGTTAATCATTACATACGCAGCGCATTTGCACAAGATAGGGCACTAAGAAGATATCGATCTTTTTTTATTGCAAACTTCTGCGAAGAGCAATTAAATTAGCAAAACATGAGCATAGTGGGTCTCCTTTTTTCGGTTTCTATATCAGTGTGACTGATATGTATGTACCTATTGCGTGTTGTGTAACAATTTATTTTTGCCAAGCAATCAAAACAAACTACATTGAACATGTTTATGAATTTGCGTCGAGCAGCCAACACCATAGTCCCGCCTACGTGGCGGTAAACATGTGAAAGTTTCTTATGAGTATCAGTCTTTCCAAGGGACAGTTGCGAGATGAATATGTCTGGAGGTAATAGACCTAGCTCACTTTATTAACGTGACAGTCGTTCTTATAACACATCATCTCGACTGAGGTTTTTTTGGGTGTCAGATAAATGACACGAGATCGCACGGTTGTTAAAATCGTGATTTCTATATTTTGAATGCCAGTACAATATACTATAAACGTGCTGGTTCTGCGAGAGTTTCTGGGGTGACGCATGAGTTGCTGCAACAGTTATAACCTACTGATCTTACGAGGAGGGAATGAGTTTTCTTGAGTAAAAATATTTCATACTGGTTGGTTATGATTAAAGGCAGACTTTACATTGACACTGACTACCCCATAGTCATGTCATTATCAACCTACGTCCATGGAGCCCCGTGTAGCCGCAAGGCACTTCAACAATTTCCGTTCCTTTATAAATGAATTAGGTGTGATAGGATATATACAAGTGGTATTAAAAGCATCTTACAGAGTAAAGTAAAGTATGTGTACATGTTTCATAGATTAAGCTATTTTAGAGACATATGAGTGAGAAATAATCCAAAATATATATGGATAAACAGCAGGCAACTCAGTCAGAGTTTCCAACCTCGAGCTGATATAACCATACCTTTACAAGTTGACTCACAGTTCGAGGTGGGACAGTATTAAACTTTGTTCAAACTTACAGTTCACTCCGTGCGTTTGTCCGTCTCTCCACACAACATCCCGTATCCGGTCTTTGTGAAAATAAAATACGTCGAGGCAGTAGCAAGCAGGTTGTTCAATGCCACAGAATTAAAGAGTCTCTTCATTAGCGGGTCTCAGATCAATCCAAGTTTGCCGTAACGCCAATACGAGTTGAGTAGACTGCTCGTGTAGCGAGCGCCGTGCGGCTGGTGTTGAGTGGACGACTCGGGGCTGATTAGAGGGAACTCCTACACACACAGGCTTTTCCTCCCGTGCACGGAGTTTGGTGTGGTCTCCACAACCAGCCAACCACATTAGTTATTGACTGCTGGGTTTCTATGGCTGATAGTTTCGCTTTGATCGTTGGAAGCGATGGGGGTTCTACTCAGAGATCAGAGTCTACGAATGGGACGTTATATTGCATGGAATCCTTGTTTGGTTGATTTATCCCCGTGTTTACAAATCGAAGGTGACATTTCGAGAAAACTAACGGGACAAATTATATATTTGGCCAGTTAGTGAGTGAGTATCAAGGATTGTCACTTTAACCTTCACATATTTACGTCATTTCGAATTTGGATACTCACTCACGTATCACCCACTCCGTGCCCGTGGGTTCGAATCCCAGTCCCACTTAATTATATTTGTCAGATTGTCTGTTTGTCATCATCATATCAGTGTTTGTCTGTTTGTCATCATCATATCAGTGTTTGTGTGTTTGTCATCATCATATCAGTGTTTGTGTGTTTGTCATCATCATCATATCAGTGTTTGTGTGTTTGTCATCATCATCATATCAGTGTTTGTGTGTTTGTCATCATCATATCAGTGTTTGTGTTTCACAAACGTGGTAAACGTCAAAGACCTTCATCACGTCGAGCGTTTGTTGGCTGGTTTGTTGGCTAACGCCCCACTTAGCAATATTCCAGCTATATGGCGGCGGTCTGTAAATAATCGAGTCTGGACCATTCAATCCAGTGATCTACAACATGAGCATCGATCTACGCAACTGGCATACGATGACATGTGTCTACCAAGTCAGCGAGCCTGACCACCCGATCCCGTTAGTCGCCTCTTACGACAAACCTGGGTTACTGAAGATCAAATCTAACCTGGATCTTCACGGGTCTCGTGCTTTCATGAAGCCGACACGCCGTCACTACACGCCGCACGCACGCACGCACTCACTGCATATTATTCACTACTGATGATTATCAGACATACACACTCTGAACATGGGAACGCAGTTCTGAATCAGGACATGACTCATCTAATGTATTCCCACAATCTGACAAGAGAAGAGTCACCTTTGATGTTTCTATCATGACCACAAGTAGATAAAATGAAATATCTCGCGGATATAACACGGAAATAGAAGTGCCATAATAAGAAACATTGGGATCAAGGCTTGGTTTCCGTCAGTGACGTTTCCAATACCCGAAGCCCTTCAGCTACTGTGAGTGACTGAAGTAGTCATTTTGCCTAGAGGCAGCTTCCCGACCTTAACATAGATTTATATGTATTTCCACCGTGACACCTTATCGACCTGTTCGTACCTAACCTGAAGAGAAGAGGCCGATAAGGAACTACCTCAATCAAGCCATTAACCTTCAACACAACACTCTCACAGATGTGATCCCAACTGTGAACCTTTCTATTCCTGGCATAGGGAGAATTAACGATTGTGTGAGTGATCTTTGCCGAATAGACAGCTATTACGTAAAAGGGTTTCTTATACATGTTGAATTCGTTTCGCTTAATGCTTAAAGGTACTCGTTATACTGACATTGTTTCCTCGACGATCCTCCTCAAAGTTAAATTAAGGACTATGTAGCGTTGATGATATATATTAATACACTTCCATGTTTTGTGGAAGCCTCGTAGCTGAGTGGGTTGGGTTGCTGACTTCCCTGGCAATGTGCTGCCTCATTATGAGAGTGTAGGACTCGAACACAGAACACACTAGAAAATATATCTTACAGAGACAGCGTAATCCCATAAGATATGTTACAATTATTGACAATTAATTTCAAATCATAAGTCGATTTCTGAAACAAAATAGTGAAAAAAAGAAAGCAAAAAGAAAAAAACGTTTCCGCAAACTTTCAACTCTCCTTTCTGGTTTTCATATTCAAAACACTTTTGAGAAAAAGTAGGAACCGTTTTTTATTAATCTAACAGTTTTCGTCTTCGTAACCAGGAGATTGTTGAGGAGATGGACATTATGACTGATGGTGATTGTCACTGGTAAGACCCTTTTATTATAACGTAAGTTCAAAATCAAACACTAATTCCAAATGAATTGTGTGAAATAATCATCCAATTTCCAATCATCGACGGATCAAGTTAGAAATTATTCTTCTTCCCCGTGAAACATACCTGAAACGTCCTCATCAACCCATCAGGGAAGTTGGTGTAAAAGTTCATTAGTGCTGTATCCTATGTTCATTAATTCTTAATGCTTTTCAAAATGTCACCATTGTGTTTTAATGGAAGTGTCCTACCGTGACTCCCGAGATATCACAGATGCGACCTTGAGATATTATCAGCTATTAGAAGCACTATGTTGTTCTGATATACACGGATACAGTTGTTTCCTCAAAGTTCTTGTGAGTTGTTTGCCATAACGTTCCATCATTTACCTTTGTGAATGGTCGTTTCTTATCAGGCGACAGCATCTTCCCGTTAAGGTACCTAACGCAATTAAAACAGAATGAAACAGTCTATGAATGGATCACATATGTCATGGCAAGTCTATGAATGGATCACACATGTCATGGCAAGTCTATGAATGGATCACATATGTCATGGCAAGTCTATGAATGGATCACATATGTCATGTCAAGTCTATGAATGGATCACATTTGTCATGGCAAGTCTATGAATGGATCACATATGTCATGGCAAGTCTATGAATGGATCACACATGTCATGGCAAGTCTATGAATGGATCACACATGTCATGGCAAGTCTATGAATGGATCACATATGTCATGGCAAGTCTATGAATGGATCACATATGTCATGGCAAGTCTATGAATGGATCACATATGTCATGGCAAGTCTATGAATGAATCACATATGTCATGTCACGTCTATGAATGGATCACACATGTCATGGCAAGTCTATGAATGGATCACATATGTCATGGCAAGTCTATGAATGGATCACGCATGTCATGGCAAGTCTATGAATGGATCACACATGTCATGGCAAGTCTATGAATGGATCACACATGTCATGGCAAGTCTATGAATGGATCACACATGTCATGGCAAGTCTATGAATGGATCACATATGTCATGGCAAGTCTATGAATGGATCACATATGTCATGGCAAGTCTATGAATGGATCACATGTCATGGCAAGTCTATGAATGGATCACACATGTCATGGCAAGTCTATGAATGGATCACATATGTCATGGCAAGTCTATGAATGGATCACATATGTCATGGCAAGTCTATGAATGGATCACATATGTCATGGCAAGTCATGGCAAGTCTATGAATGGATCACATATGTCATGGCAAGTCTATGAATGGATCACATATGTCATGGCAAGTCTATGAATGGATCACACATGTCATGGCAAGTCTATGAATGGATCACTGACAATCAGCGATGACACCTGATGTTCACCAACAGGTTGACCATATTATGCATGTTTCTTTTGCCAATAATATCTTTACGTGTAAGTTTATCATAGACCTGATGTCAGCCTACGAGCGTCTAATATTCGTGCACGAGCATTCACAGTATGTCCATGTGCCTATATATCTTTAATTAACCGCAGAGTCGTATTGGAACTGTTTCTGTCTAGTGCAAATGAGAAGTCATTTAAACGTCTTACACTGTTTCAGCAAGGATTCTGTCCTAGGTCATTGGCACCATCACATTGAGCCTTGATGCTAATAGGTAGAAGTGATATGGTTTCTTTGAGTTGTCTACAGATCCAGCAAGGCAGTCAACTATGATTTGATCAATACACATCAAGATACCTGTGTCTGGAAATAAATTGGCAATGAACTCTACGTATGTACTCACTCTAGTCTCGGAAGCCAAAATTGACTTAAATGTTGATGAATGACGTTTTTAGAATTTGTAGGAAAATACAATCAGCTAACTTGTGTCGGCGACTTGTGTCTTGTGTCGACATGTTGCACCGACATGAACGTTTGTGTATACACAATCTGAAGTGGTACATACAAGGATAATACAATAAAACAAAACAAGGCTTTCTGTTGTATTGCCGTAAATGTCAATCGAAAAGTAAATTGATCTCCAGTTTTGAGCGGTGTGCTCAAAATGAATGTAAATGGGAGAAGCGAACTATGAAAATGCCGCCGCTCAATCAACGTTACTACACAAAAATAATGTTGATGGCACAGACTAACTTTGTATCAATCTGGTTTAGATATATTTCTGGTTAAATGTTTTTATTTTTTGAAATGCAAAAATGTCCCACCATTCCTTCTTTTTTCCCATTGAATATTTTGTTCCTATCATGATCACACGGCTGGGGAATGATTTGCCACGCCCGAATAATATATACCGCTGTTGCCCTCCTTCATGTCATCAGGTAAACCTGTCTCGGAGAGGAAGTCAAACAACAAAGAAGCAACACCTGATCAGATAGCACAAGCTGTAAACCTGATATTTCAATGGTTCCCTGGAAGGTTTTGGTTTTCTAGACATTTCATTGTACATGAAAATGTTCACGTAACATGTACACTTACATGTACGTCATCGAGTAATGTATCATGAATCATGGGATTTTACACCCCCAAAAAAACAAAAACAAAAAATACCCCTTGTGGCAGCTCAATGAATTCGAATCTTTTTATGTTATTTTAAATACTTTTTGAAGGATGATCAAATGTTTAAAATGGCGTTATGCGTTGTGAAGTAGCAGTTTCATGGGTCTATTTATCGAATTGTATCCTTGGAACGGCTTTAATACGAAGAGCTTTTTCAGTTGAATGCAGAACTCAGTCGTTAGACATTCCGATGAAATGGAGATAGAGAGCTGTCGAAAACATATCGATCTGATGTTACGAAAGTGCAGTAAGTATAACTTTGTGGATTCGATAGGCCGGACCAACCACCGACAGAAACAGTATAGGATTATATGTCAATGTACCGTCAAGTGAGATTTATGAACGCTGAATGGGGGTAAAATTGCATGTGGCGATACCTCAATTAAAAGCATTATGAGGGGTGTTTAGAAGTTGGAATGTCATGTGAGGA